CCCTCCCGAAGAGGGGCCGCAGCGTGGGAAGGTAGATCCGGGGCGTCGAGAAAGAGAACGGCAAGCACGAGATTAAGGCATAGATGCCCTGTCCGGCATCGTAGGAGACGACGAGACCGCGAGATGGTGTTTGCGGAGACTTCGACGCCAGTTTGGAGCTAGACTCAAATATCGTTGTCCCGCTCCGCTTCTTCTCTGAGCCTCTTCTTCTTCTTCCTTACTCTGCCGTTGCCCCCTCCCCTCCCCCCCTCGTGTTATTGCTTGTTCTTCGCAACGGCGGTTGTGTTGGTGCCTGCGCTTGGTGCGGCTTGTGCCCGGTGGCGATGGTGATGGTGCTGGTTTGCGCTGCTTGTGGCGACGCTGGTGGCTCGGGCGATGGGCCATGTTGTTGCTGCTGATGGAATTGGTGCAGGAGTCTATCCTTACCTCCTCCGGAGACAGCACTTGCATCATCTGGGACGTGGAGACGGGGGTAACGTCGGTACGTTCTGTTCGCTCGATTTTTTTTTTTTGTATATCTTTTGCCTGCTCGTTGTCGTCAATTGTGTTTCTCGGTTCATGACCAATGGGCACGTGCGGATATGTTTCGTATCTGGTACAGCTTTGTGTTTTCTTTTGCCTATTTTCACTTGCCGTGTCATTGAACCGCAGGAAAATCTTGTTGTGGTCGAGAGGATATTAACGCGTTCACGCGTTGTGCCTGCTTGCAGCCACGATTGTTTTTGGCATACGCTACTTTTAGTGTGCAGTTCTGAACCAGCACCGCCGAAGCAGCGGCGGCAAAATAGCCACGTACTCCAACTTTCGCGGTCAAGTTTGCTCGCACCTTGCGTTTGTAGGGTAGCATTGTTTCTCTCTGAACGTTGGTTAGGGTCTGGCGCCTCAGCTTCACTACGGAATTTGCAAGAGATTAAATTGGTAACCGCTCCACCCCCCTGGGCGGTCCGGTCCGACTTGAAGTTTTTTGCTCCTAAGTGCCCGTTTCTGGCATCTGGGAATTGATGAGGAGTATCCGAGTAGTGCATGATTTCGCACGGGCGGTATGCCTATACTTGCCATCGTGCACTAACCAGTAGATTTTTTTTTGTGTTTCTCGGTCATTCCTTTCTTGGCTTTCCTTTGTCTTCAAACCCCCATCCCCGGGAGGAAGGTCAGTAATAAAGTAGTGCCACTGGAGAAGCAATGAAAGCAGTTGGTTGTCGACACCACTTTTTCGGTTGAAGGCATACTGGTGTTCCATGCAGTCCGTCAAATTTTTGCGGGGGCGTTTTTTTTTTTCAATCGGCTTCATGCACAAGCCATAACTGCGTTTGTAAATCACACCTGTTAATCTCCTGCTCAAGTAGAGTTTTTGCTGGTGTTGGTTGATTTTTCGCACCCGTGGAGATCCTAGCTGCACCCTTGCGTAGCATCTACAACAGTAGCTAGAGCAGCAGGTTGCCCTCTGGTGGTGGTTCTTCATCACTCCCCTTCCGGTAACATCTGTCCGCTCTGTATCTTCGTTGACACAAAAGTCCCTTCGTTTGTAACCCGCTTGTTGTTCTTTTTCTCTCTGTTATGTGTGTTGCGTGAATGTGAAAACTACAGGCGCATTTCACCGACCACGGTGGTGACGTCATGTCCGTCTCGATCCTGCCGTCCGTAGATAAGAACGTCTTCGTCTCGGGATCGTGCGACTCGCTCGCCAAGGTGTGTGTTTTTTTATTGTCAACCGCGCTAACGGGCTGATCAAGGCGTGAGTGTATGTATTTGTGTGTGTTTTCTTGCTAGCGTCAGCCGCGCTTTCCGGCTGACCAATGAAAATACGTGAGTCTCGTTGCGGTTGAACACGACATGCTTCTGAAGGCCACGATCATGGACCGTGCCAGAGACCACCCGTCCTTCCGTTCTCGAGTCTCTTGTTCCCCTCGTTTTTCCGGACCGGAGCACCGAGACGAGACCGCCATTGTTGTTGCCGATCGTGGGCATCATTCTCCGCAGCCTTTCCCGCTGGGTTTTCGCCGTGCCTCTTGGAGCATGTCAGCTCTCTGCTATCAGCGAACAATAACTAAATAAATAACGGTATGTACCTTGCTTCTTGCTTCTACTTCGTACTGCTTTTCTTCGAGTGTTGATGTTTTTTCCCTGCGTGTTTCTGGTCGGTCATACGGTGCCACGGGCGTACATTTTAAGCAAATATTTTTCGTTTCATCTTGTTGAAGCCTAAATATGTACACCCATGATGACAAATACCAACGAACGCTAGGTGTGGGATATCCGCGAGGGCAAGTGCGTGCAGACTTTCCACGGGCACGAGTCGGACATCAACTCGGTTATGTTCTTCCCAGACGGCAAGGTGCGGCACGCCGGAATTACTTAGTCATGAACCGGATGACTGACTGTTTTGAGGGCGAGGAATGGGCAATTAATTTCAATCCAAGTTCGTTTTGTTTGTTGGAAGTATGCTTTCCGTGGTCCTTTTTGTTTGTTGTTTCCAGTGAAGGTTCAGAGCGTTGCTTTGCTTTGCTTTGCTGACCATCAGATGGTTGGCCATTGAGTTTTCTCGGCTGAGCACTAGTCGGGTGTCCCTGTAGACCAAAGGATGGTAGGCGAGCTTCCTCACGCACCCAGACGGTGAGAGCGTGACCCAAGCAGCGAAGCCACTCTAAACCGTGTTTTGTTTTCCCTCACCACGATAGAAAAAAGGGAGATACAGAAACACACACACACAGAGAGAGAGAGAGACAGAGAGACAGAGAGACAGAGAGACAGAGAGAGAGAGAGANCACAGAAAGACTAGTTGTACCCGTTCGAGATATATCCACAGTCGTCCGGAATGTGTTGGAGTCTAGGTAAGCCTACACACTAAAATTTATCAGTGATGCCAGCTGGTGCTAATCACAAAAACATCTGTATAGATATCACAAGGCATACAACGGAGAAACGAGGGGCTCCGACACAGGAACTCTCTAATGTCACATACCTACCCAAAAGGCCGCGCAGACGAGTGTTACGACCGAGTACACCAGACATGGGTATGAGCCGTTCGAGACACAGACAATCGTTCATTGGTCGGATGACTCCACGCATCGATTGGATGACCCCCCCCCCCCCCCCCC